AGCACAGGGCCAGCAAGAGACTGCTTGAGTCCCCCCGCTGGCCCCGTGCTCCTTGCAGCACTCTTGCAACTTCAAAGGCAGACGCGCCCTTATCGACTAATCGAATAGTCGATGCAAATTGCATCGACTCTTCAATTAGCCAACTCATCTACATTTAACATCCCTATGTGGATCCAGATTTGGTTCTTTTGTCATTCCCAAAATACATGCAACTTTTTAAATTAAAATGAAAAAATGAATTCAAAAATTTAAAACCCCGGAATTACTCGTGGAGCTTGAATGCACGCGTGAACCTGAATTTGACCAGTTATGAGGTAAACTTCAAAGAAATGTGCGAAAAGATGCAGCAGCAGAAGTCCTGTTACATAAAATCTGTGAGAACAATGTTTCGTTTCATAGAATCATAGAACATTAGAACTGGAAGGAACCTTGAGAGGTCATCGAGTCCAGTCCCCTGCCATCATGGCAGGACCCAGTACCATCTAGCTCATCCCAGATAGGTGTCTATCTAACCTGCTCTTAAATATCTTCAGAGATGGGGATTCCACAACCTCTTTAGGCAACTTATTCCAGTGTTTAACCACCCTGACAGTTAGGTAGTTTTTCCGAATGTCCAACCTAAACCTCCCTTGCTGCAGGCAGTTTAAGCCCATTGCTTCTTGTCTTTAGCCTCTGAAAATAGGACAACAATTTTTCTCCCTCCTCCTTGTGACTCCCTTTTAGATACCTGAGAACTGCTATCCTGTCCCCTCTGTCTTCTCCTTTCCAAACTCATAGACTTTAAGGTTAGAAGGGACCATTATGATCATCTAGTCTGACCCCCTGCACAGTGCAGGCCACAGAATCTCACCCACCCCTCCTAGAATAATCCTCTCACCTATATCTCAGATATTGAAGCCTTCAAATACTTTGAAGACCCCAAGATGCAGAGAATCCTCAGGAAGGCGAAAAACCTCCAGGGCCTCTGCCAATCTACCCTTAAACTAAACAAGCCCAGTTCTTTCAGTCTTCCCTCATAGCTCATGTTCTGTAGACCTTTAATCATTCTTCTCTGGACCTTCTCCTCCAATTTCTCCATCTTCCTTGAAATGTGGTGCCCAGAACTGGACACAGGACATTTACGCTAGCTTTAATCATCCTGTCAGTTACCAGTAATACTAAGTTGTATATTTTCAGCTATGTAAATGGGCATTCTGAGACGGCTCTTTGCTGACCACTTGTTCTGAATGTCGATGTAGTTTGGCTCTTGGGTCCTCCGCCACCCCTCCGCCGTAGGGCTGCCTCCCCTTGATGAGTGAACTGCACCACTCCTCAGTGCGAATGGTGCTGCCTCCTGTCTAGACTGTCCTCCCATGGGCCTGGGGGTATTCCCAATGCCTCAGAGCAGTGCAGGCTCTGTGAGGCGTGAGCATGCAGCTAAATAGGAGGCCGCGGCTGCAGTGTTGCAGGATTGTCCCTCACAATGTCTTTCCTGCTGCCTTCGCTGCGGTAGTGATGGGGCATCCACTGGGAGGGGTCTGCGGTGTATGCGAGGAAGCCCTTCCTGATACCTAGTGCCAGGTCCTACCGCTCCTCTCGGCTCAGCCCAGCGATGGACGGAAACCACAGCTACCCAGCAAATAGAGCCCGAGGGTTGGGTCTGTGGTTAAGGCCACCTGGGCAGCTCCTCAAACGCTCCTAAAACTACAGCCCATAGAAGTGGAGGAGAAGCAGCAGCCTCCTCCCAGCATCCTTTGCTTCAGCCCCCTCCCTACCTGTTGTGTGGGGGCAGGTTTAGGGCTGGCTTCTGTCACGCTCGGCAGCCCTTCCCCACACCCTGCCACTAACAAATGCAGCAGAGAAGCAGGCGCTGCGCGGAGGACCATGTCCACACAGCGAAGGAAGAGCCGCGGCTGGCCTGATACAGCTGACTTACCCTCGTGGGGCCGCGTAGCCTCGGACGGACCCTGAGCTCTGGGACCGTTCCACTCCCGAGGCTCCTAGAGCCCAGAGTCCAACCTGAGCTGAGGTCTATCCACAGCAACGAAAGAGTCCCACAGTCCCGCGTCGGCTGCTACAGGCCAGTTGTGTGTCTGATTGTTGTGTAGTCACATCCCAGCCCTGTACCACATGTGCAGCGGTTTCTTTTCTTCATCCTCTGCTTCCCATGCAATCCTGTAATTCTTTCCTGAACCAGAATAGCTCTGATCCTCCGCTCAGGACTAACGGGGATGGAGGTGTGTAGGGGAATGTCTCCAACAGGCATCCCTCCAGGCAGGGAAGGGTGTGAGGGTAGCGGGGGTGCGTTTAGGAGTCTGGCCCAAGTTCTGCGTACAGGGCCCTGCACTCCTTGGGTCGCAATGAAGGCCCCCTGCTGGGAACGGCCTGCCACACGCATGCGACACTTGAGCGGCCATGATGGGCTGGGGGACGGTGCCTTGCGGGAGCGGATTGTCGTCCTGCGTTCACAGCGCCCGTCACTTCTCCCGTTTCACACCTCCTATTGGTTGGCGCAGCCGGCCATCAGAAGCGGCACTTGTGGGCCACGCTCACAGGCGCACAGCCCCGGCCCTGACGGCCTTGGTTTGGCTTTGCAGGAAATCTTTGGCCCCGTCCTGACTGTGTACGTCTATCCCGAAAAGCAGTACAAGGAAATCCTGCAGCTCATAGACACCACCTCCCCCTACGGCCTCACAGGGGCAGTGTTTGCCCAGGAGAAGTAAGTGCCTGTAATTCTCACCCGAACAGCTGGCGCTCTGCTTTCCCGCATGCACTGGGGGAGAAACACTTCACCTGCCGGTTCCTTTCCTGCGGAGCCAGCACATTTGCATCACGGTCTGATAGAAGGAAATCCTGGGCCGAGGGCTGCATCCCCCTTCTGAGGCCCTTTGCACGGCGCCGGCCTCCTCGCGAGTTAGGGCAGGAAGGCTTCTTGTCTGAGCCCCTTGCCCCCGAGAGACTCTGAAGTGTAATTCACGGGGATTGTTGCTGTTCAAATCTGAAGGGATTTCCCCTCAAGACGATGCTCCTATATTCTACCCGCTGGTTAGTGCTGCCCCGTGGCTGTCAGAGGGCGTGAGCTTTAAGTGGGGCAGCTCTGTGAGGCTCAGAGGCCTAGGACAGTGTTTCTCAACTTTTTTTTAATTTATTCAATGAACTTTAAGTGGAGCAGCTCTCTGAGGCTCAGAGGCCTAGGACAGTGTTTCTCAATTTTTTTTTTTTTTTTTTTTTTTTTAAATAAAGGACCCCCTTAAAAAAAATTGAGTACCCCTCAGTACCTACAGTTTTCAGACACAACATTTTTTTCTCCCAGCGCCTCAAAGTTGTTCAAACAAATGTAGTCAGGCAGGTGTTGACATTTTTGGGTTGTTCAAATGTATTTCAGTCAGGCAGGTGTTGACATTTTTGGGTGTAAAAAGTAGAAAAATAATAAAGCGCTGTAAAACTTAAATCAAAAATTCAGTTTTCTCCAAATTTCCGTTGTGTTGACGTCCCCCCAGACCTCTCTCGAGTACCCCTAAGGGTACTTGTCCCACTGGTTGAGAAACACTGGCCTAGGAGATGTGTTTGGAGCAATAACTCATTTCACATCTGGAGCTGAGCCCAGCCGAGGGCAGCGGTGGCTAAGAGCTGGCCAGGTTTGTCGCCAGCTTCACCGCAGGGTCCAAGGATTGACGGGGCCCCGCAGAGTGGTGGGGATGCTGGATCTTCTAGGGTGGAGCGATACTGGACGGGTGGGTTGCGTTGCTTTGCTGGGGGTAGGGGTTGGCGCTGGCTGGCGGTCCCAGCCTGTGTTCCCTCGCACACCACCTGAGGCCAGCAGGCGCCTGGCTGCTCGAAAGAACGCTGCCCTGAGCGTGGCGCCCTCCGCTGGCTCACCTCCTCTCTCCTAGGAGCGTCATCCAAGAAGCCAGGGACATTCTGAGGAACGCCGCCGGCAACTTCTACATTAACGATAAATCGACCGGCGCGGTCGTGGCCCAGCAGCCGTTTGGCGGCTCCCGTGCCTCAGGTGAGAGTGCCCCCTGCTGGGGCACGTGAGAGGGGAATAGCTGTCAGCTGATCCGTACACAAGGGGCGGGCTGACTAGAGCTAGAGGTGGGACATAAACAGGCCTGAGTTTTACTCTGGCCGCTTCTGCGCTGGGCCACTGTCCTCCCAGCTGTGGGGTGGGGAGATCTCTACAGATCCTTCTGCAGGGCGAACACTAGAGTCCGCGCCCTACTGGGGAATGACTCCTAAGAGCCTTTCCTGGCTTTCCAACAGGAACCAACGACAAACCCGGCAGTCCCCACTACCTCCTGCGCTGGACGTCTCCCCAGGCCATCAAGGAGACCCACGTGCCCCTCGGAGACTGGAAGTATGCCTACATGCAGTGATCACAGCTCAGTGCCTTGCATGCCGGGAGAACACCGCCTTGCTGCTGCCTCCAAACGCAGAGCAGCGCGGCCTGTCTCCTGTCGAGAGCACGGCAGCTGAGTAGTTAGAGCCTTTCAAAGAAACATTTAACAGACTGTTACCCAGCAACAGGAGCTGGCCTTGTGATTTCTCCGTCCTGACGTAGAGGGTTAGTCCAGGGCAGGGTTCTGCTGTAAGCGGTGGTGTGGTCACAGTCCTGTGGCAGGAGGAGGCTGCGCGCCAAGGAAGTCAGGGACTTCTAGAACAGGAATGCAGCAGCAAGAACTGTAGGCCTGAGGGGCGGTAGAGGAGAAACGTTTGGGAAAGAATGAAAATCACTGGGGTTCCTCCTGATCCGTGCTAAACAAATCCACCCCGCTTGCCTGCCAAGTCCCATCAAACCGTAGAGGGATGTGCCTTTGGAGATGTTCTCGTCCATTTCTTTTCCTGCATTGGTCCATGCATAGTTGTGTTTTTCCTCCAGCTGCAGCTATGAAGCAAATCTGCCACTGGAGAGGGAACACAAAGGGCTGGGCCACATGAATACTTATTTTGCCATAAGCTGCAGTGTAAACCTACCCCATGCAAGCCTGCTGGGCACAAAGTGTCTTGCTGCTGCCTGCTAGTAATTCCCTCCTGTGCTTTAATCTTCCCCAAGTGGGGCAGATCTAAGCTCACTAGGGAACTTGTGCATGGTAGATTTGCATCCCGGTTAAGTGTTCGTGTGGATGGACCGTATGCTCTACCACCAGACACGAGTGCTCATACAAGGTATCACCTACTTCTGCAAGGGGAGTTGGGAGGGAAGATGCATTTGGGGAAGTAATGCGTGAAAACAGAGCTTCTGAGCTGAGACTTGGCAGAGCCCTTGTCTTCAAACTTGGCCCATCCTTTTCTAAGTGCAGGCTGGAACACCCAGGCCCCTCGCCACCATAACTGGGACAGATCTTGCTTTTTCCCACCCGAGCAGAGTTTCCTGAAATAATTTAAGCGCGAGATAGGAATTGTACTGGAGCAGATAATGGCATTAGCAGGATGGGCTTACTTTCAGAGCTGTATTCTTTCCCAAACACTTGTTTTCTGTTAACGCCTGGGCCACGTTACAAATCGTGCTTGTTAAGCTCGGTGTTTAGATTGCTTGTTGGTTAAGAATTCCTGTGCCATGCGGCGGGGGGAGGGGAAATGCACATGAATGCTGCCTTGAATTGATCCAGAGAGTTATGTGGTTGGACTCTAGCTGCACATTTTCCCAGAGTTCCTTGGGGTGCAGATCAGAGGCTTTGGTTTGGCTGGCTGAGGTTCTAGTTTGAATAGCGGTGTGATGGTAGCTCTGCTTTGCATATAGCACTGAGGGGATGCTGTTACTGTGCATTCTTCGTGGCTATGCTGCTAAACCCTCTGGTTTCCAAACGTATTCAGCGCTAGCCACATGTTTCACATTAGTGCAGCCACTAACTGTGTAAAACCAAGGCAACGGCAAGGGTTAGCCATACAGATACTACTTTGCAACTGCCTCATTAAGCCTTTTAGGTCGGGGATTCACTAGCTGCAACTGCCTCCGTAATAGGCTCATTAAGCCTTTTAGGTCGGGGATTCACTAGCAAAGTGGCAGCTGGCTAGTTGGACAGGCTCCTCCCTCCCTTGTGTGGCTACCTGAATGGATCCAGAGAGCATCCCCTCTTCCCTGGAGCAGCAGGTG